AGGGGTGAGAATGGTGTTTCAGGAAGAGGGAAGAACACACGCAAAGGCCCGAAGGTGAGAGGGACTGGAGTGTGAGGCACTGACAGAGCTTTAGCTTGGCTAGCATGTGGCATTAGTTCACAGGGGAAGGGGTGGTGAGAAGAGTGTGTGGATGGAGTCATGTCTACCTGAATAGGCTGTCCCCTGCCTCTGTACCCTCACCCTCCTCCTCGCCCCATTGTTGAGGCTTCCCAGCAGATGCCAAACTGAGTAAACAGAACGGATTGGGGTGGAAGCCCAGCTTTAGGCAAGCTCTTCTGTCTCTTCTTCCAGGGATGGTCACTGTGCCCCACGGAGAGTTTCCAGAAGCCAGCCTGGCTGGAGGTCCCGTCCCTCCCCCCGAGGACGCCTCCACCCCATTTCCCATCCCGCGCACTTCTAGCCTCGCCCGGGCCAAACGGCCATCAGTCTCCTTTGCCGAAGGCACCAAGTTTGCCCCACAGAGTCGCCGAAGCTCAGGGGAAATCTCCAGTCCTCTCCGAAAGCCCAAGAGGCTCTCCCGGGGGGCCCAGTTGGGCCCTGAAAGCCAGGAGGCTGAGGAGTCCATGGGCTCAGAGAAAGCAGAAATGGATGAGACCCCTCCTGGTGCTGCCAGCCCCAGGGATTCAGCCACTGGCCGCCGCCGGCTACCTCTTGGTGGCCGGACAGTGGCTGAGCGTGTAGAAGCCATTGAGGGCAGTGTCCTGGAGGGCTCAGGCTCTGTGACTACGATCTACATGCTGGCAGGGACACCCCAGTTATCTGAGGGCCCTGTCCGGTCTGTTCTCCGCCGTTTTGGTAGCTTCCAGAAAGGCCAGGCAGGGCCCAAGGTCAAGAGTGCCATCCCCAAGCCTCCACGCCGGGCCCTTAGTCGAAATAAGGGCAGCCCTGGACTAGCCTCTGGCTCTGCCAAGCAGAGCCCCAGCCTAGCCCCGAATGATGAGCTTACTAGGTCCTTAGAGTCTGTAGAAACTGGGCCAGAGGAAGTGGCCAGGGGGCTGGGGGATGGTACCAAGAACTCAGGAAGGGCCCAGGAGCTGGCCCCTGACAGTGGCCCCCAAGAACAGGATACCCAAAAGCTGGCTGATGAGGAAGAGCAGGAGGAGCCCCAGTATGAGAACGTTGCACCCATCTCTGGGCCACCAGCACCCTGAGAACCTTGAATTTGGAGAGTGGGAAGACTGTGGACAGAGGGTAGGCTTCTGAACTGCCCCTGGATCAGACTGTGTTTTGCTGGAAAAAGATCTCAGGGCCAGGAAAGACAGACCAGATCCTCTGCCCTTTCATGGGGAAACGTCAGAGCTGGAGGCCAGTTGGCTCTGGGCCCTGGCAGTGCTCTGGGAGTGGTCTGGAAGGCCTGGGCAGAGACCCCATGGGGTGGAGTCAGGAAGGGGAAAGAGATGACTGCAGGGACCTTTTTTCTGTTTTCCTAGACTCTGCCCCAAAAGGCTATTCTTTCCTCCATTTGCAAAACATTTTTCTGAAATGGGAAATAACCTAAATGATGACAAAAGATTGGTTAAAGAAAGATTGCTTAGGATAGGTCCCTAAACAACCACAAAAATCACATTGTGTAAGAATATTTAATATGGGAAATAGGGGAGACTGTTTATGCTCAACTGTTAAGTGTAAAAAATAAGGTGTCTTTTTATAAATTTCATTTCTTTTTGCTTCAGGCTACATGTTTAGAATCCTCCCACTTTGTGTATATTTTGTGATTGTTTTACAAACTTTTTTTTTTCTCTGAAGGATGTATGTGCATAAAAAATTTTGAGGGAAAGGCATCAAATGGCATTTTTTTTGGGGGGGAGATGAGATTGTAGCGATATTTATTTTCTTAAACTTTTGTATTATTTGTAAATTTTCATTAGTGAACATTCTTTTTACTTTTCTCACTAGATTTTTTTTAAAAATTATTAAAAACAATGTTTTTTGTGAAAAATTTAAAAAAGTACTAACATTATAGACATGTATAAAGTAAAAAAGAGATTTCCCATTTCCTCAGAGGAACCTGAGGGACAGGGGAGGGACCAGACTTAACTTGTCTCTGAATGTCTTTTGGTCTTGTTTGAATTTTTTTTTCTCACATACTTGAATTACCTAGTCAGTACAGAACCAGCAGCTTCCCCTTCTATCCCAGTGCTTAGAGAATCTGGTGAACAGTTCAGATCCTTCCTCTCAGATGTTTTTCTGGACACATGAAAACAAAAGATCATATTGTTGTACACTTTGTTTTTTTACTTAACAATATATCCTGGTTATATTTTGATGTCCGTAAATGTAAAGCTACCTCTTTTTATAAAAAAATGGCTACCTGGAATTCCATCATGTGGAAGAAACACAGGTTATTTAAACCATTCCCCTACCTGTGGAGATTTGGGTTGTTTCTAATCATTTTGATGCAATAAATGACACAGTGTACTATTTTGTCCATATTTCTTTTTGCACTGTGCACGTTTTTCTGCAGAAGAGATTCCTAGAAGTGGAATTGCTGGGTGATAGGATAAGACATTAAATATTTGGGCACTTATTTCACATTGCCCTCCAAAAAAGTTACATGGTTTTGTATTTTCACAAATGATGGCAAGATCTATTTCTGTACACCCGGTCTAATAGGCTGAAATGGTATCTCATTATCTTAGCACAATAAAAATAATAAAGTGATAACATGCTAAAGCTTTTTAAGAAGTTAAAAGCTTTATACAGATAAAAGGGTTTTTTACATTTGTTTTTTAACTATCAAAAAATCATATCATTAAAATGTGAATTTCTATGCTTATTCTAAGGTTGAGCTTCTTTTCGTGTCTTTAATAATTATTTTTTTCCTATGAGTTATCTGATTATGTTCTTTCCCCGATTTTCAACTGAGGTGTTCATCTTTTCCTCATTGATTTATAAGTGCCTATGTATATCAAGGATATTCTTTGCCCCATTTGTGATTGATCATTTAATGCTGTTAATAGTTTCTTTCTTCTTTCTATAGAAATTTAAAATTTTATTTTAGACAGACTTTTTTTTTTTTTTTTTTTTTTTTTTTTTTTTTTTTTTTTTTGGTGGGCAGCAAAGCAAGGTTTATTGAGCAATGGCAAAGTGATAGTACAAAGCTCCTAAGGAGGTAAGGGACAGGAGAGGGTTGCCATGGGAGTTTCTAAGTCTAGGGGTTTTTATGGGCTTGTTGGCTGTCTGTTTTGATCTGATTGACCCTCCCGGCGCCTGTCATCCAATCAGGTTTTTGTCACAAGGGAAAGGGTGGAGGGTTCCTTGCAGAGTGGTCCAAAATCCTTTTTAAAGGTGGCTTCCTCTTAGGGTGGGGCCCCTTTAGACAGTCTTTTTCTTCTTGACTGCTGAGGGTTTTTTTTGTTTTGTTTTTAAGATTACGTATTTGAAAGAGAGAGCGCATGCTTGAGCGCCCACCAGCAGGGGGAGCAGCAGAGGGAGTGGGAGAAGCGGACTCCCCGCTGAGCTAAGCAAGGAGCCCAAAGCAGGACTCTCTCTCAGGACCCTGGGAACATGACATAAGCCAAGGGCAGGCTTAACCCATTGAGCCACCTAGGCACCCCTTGACTTGTGAGTTTCAAATGCTTAGTGGAAAGGCCTTCTCTACCCTAAAACTAGTGAAATAATCATCTGCCTTTTCTTCTGGTACTCTAGTGGTTTTGTTTCTTTATGACTTGTCAGCAGTTCTGGTGTTGGGGCTTTAACACCCTTGACAAAAACACCGAAAAAAGAAACCCAGAATTTCATTCAAATAGCCCTGGATTCAATCTTCTGATAATTGTTTTGTGACTTTGAAATGGTATTTAAAACCTCAGTTTTTTCATCTGGGGACTTTGGAATGGGGACCTGGCCATCTCCCAGAGCTGTTGTGGGGATTAAATGACAGAAACTACATAAAGCACCTAGGAAATTTTTAGTTCTCAAAAAAGGGTAATTACTATTTGCATCACCATCATTCTCCCAGATTTGAATCCTTTGTCTCAAGAAGCTGATAACTTCCAACCCTTTTCATTTGTTCATGTTTTCACTCAACAAGCCCAATTTTGTGCACCTGCTTTGTTTGGGCTTCTTTGTTAAGTGCTGGTAAACAAAGTTGAGTAAGACATAGTTTTTGCCCCCAAATATTTGTTCATAGTCAGTGGGAAAAGGGAGGGACAAATGGATGAAACAGTGCACTATAAAAAAAACAAAACAAAACAGTGCAATCAGTGGACAAAGATAGTAAAGGATATTTTGGGGAGTGGTTAGGGAAGGCTTCTTGAAGGAGGTGCTGTCCAAGAAGAGTCTATCTTTGAAGGCCAGAGGCGAGAGTACAGCACCTGCAGGAACCACAAGAAATTCCATGTGATTGAAGCACCTATGATCTGGCCAGTCAACCAGCCTCTAAGTGGAGGAAGAGACCAATAGGGAGGAGCCTGTGTGGGTTAGGCTGGAGAACTTGAACTTTATCCTACAGGACAAATGGTAGAGAGTTTCTGAAGGATTGAGCAGAGGTCAAATTTGCTAAGGTCAGATTTACCTTTCCCACAGCTCACTGGGATGGGGTTGGGTGAAGAAATGTATTTGAGAAGCTGAGATCAGAGGCTGAATGAAGAGCAGTTGCAGTCCTAGGGATACAGATGGGCAAATTAGATAAATATTTAGGAGATATGGCTGTGTTGGTGGGGTGGGGGTGGGGTGAAGGAGAGGGAGAATAATGGAGAGTTTAAGACAAATTTCAAATATTTATTGAAAAGATGGTTCACAATATCTAATTTCGGTAGGTAGTGGTGCTATTATTTGAGAAAGAATGAGAGGGACAGTTTGGGGGGTAGAAAGTGAGTTATTTTTTTAAAAAGATTTATTTATTTGAGGGAGAGGGAGAGCAGGAGAGCATGTGCAGGGGCAGAGGGAGAGAATCTCAGGCTGACTCCCCACTGAGCTGGGAGCCCCAGGCGGGGTTCCATCCCACCACACATGAGATCACAACCAGAGCAGAAACCAAGAGTTGGAGGCTTCACCTCACCACCCAGGTGCTCCTAAAGTGAATTATTTTAGAGATGTATTTGAAACAGTTCAGAGATGTGTATGGAACAGCTGCCTGGAAACGTTCCTCTGGCAGGTGGCTCTAAGGAGGTGGTGGGGGGGGGGGCTGAAGTTTATCTAGTGGCAGTCCCAAGTGAGTGGGTGAGATTCTGCGGGGTGGGTAAAAGAATAAGTAACCAGCCAGGATCCCCCAGGCCCACAGCGCCGGGCGAGGTGTAAGCAAGGTTGCCAGTAGCGGGTTCACGGCGGCAGGGGGCGCACTTGGATGCGGGGACGTGAGACAGGAAGCTGCTGAGGCTCCCAGAGTCCTGGAAGAAGCCAGTTCCCAGAGCGTGCCAGGGAGACCTAGCTGAATCTGGGGTAGACCGAGGGTCTAGTAAGATCGGGCTAGCCACTCTGATCGGGGATACGCAGCTGGGCTGCCGAACCTCCCCAGTGCCCGGGCTCTATCCCGCTGCCAAGCCGTCCTGGGAGCAGGTCCAGCTCTCTGATCACATTCGGTACCGAGCCCTCCCGACTCCACGCGCTTTCCCGGAGACACTGCCCGCCGCGTCACCAAGCAGAGAGGGCCCCTGAAGTTGACGTCCAGGAATGGGACGTAAGTGGGTGGAGGTGTTGCAAGACAATGGAGATTTGATGGTCAACTTTGAGTAAGGATCCACAAGGGAACCAAGGACAGCAGGAGGCGGGGGGGGGCGGTCTTGATGGGAGCAGACCGTCCTAGGGTACAGACAAGTCCCAAACTCCCACCTACGGATCCCCCAAGGCCATCTTCCAGGGACCGGGCAAATGGCACCCAGGAAAGAGGGTCCGTGAAATCAGCAGAGCAGGGAAGAGGCACACCACGCCTGGGCAGGGGTCCGGGGATCCAGGATGAGCAGACAGCGCCTGGATGGAGGACACTGGGGACAGGCGAACGAGGAATCAGAACACAAAGCCCGAGGCAGCCGGGGATGGCAGCGTTGTGCGGGAGAAGCAGCGGAGGCGGCGGGAGCGGAACGACCCACACGGAGCCAGAGCATCGGGACATGATGCCCAGGTCAGAGGGGAAGCTGGGGACTCCACAAGCGGGCCGGAGAAGAATGGAGTGCAGAAGCCCCAGCTGGGTGTGAGAAGGAGACAGGCACGCAGTCCGGGGGTTACTGGATCATCGACCGGGGGAGCCTGACCCAGGTAGGGCTTCAGAGTGAGGTTCTGAAAGTCGTTGGGGCAATGCCCCCAGGGATTCCCAGCCCGGCTGTGACTCCAGTTAAAAGCAGCAGAGGAGAGGCACGACCCGCCGCTGCCCCGGGCCCCCCCAGCTCTCTTGTTTGTCTCGGAGTCCGGCAGGAACCGGCTTCTGCTCGCCGCCGGGCGGGCGGGTGGCTTCTGATTGGTCAGTGCTTGTTTCCAGCCCCGATTCAGCCAATCAGCGTGCGGCAGTGTTTTCATCTTGGGTTGGAATAAAAGCGCTGGAATAAAAGGAGACAGAAAAGGCGCCGGCCGGGCCCGACACACGCTGCTGGGAGCCTGGTGAGCTGGATTTTGGTATCTAGGTCCTGGGCATAGGTGCTAGGAGGACAGAAAGCGCTCGAATAGGGGTGCAGGGAGACAACATGTGACCGATGAGGAGCCGCCAGGGAAGAGATGACGAAAAGAAGAGGCAGCTAGGAGATGGCGAGACGGGGGTCCGCTTCCATGGGAACAGTCTTAATGCCGAGGAAACACCCCTGGTTGGGGGGCGCGCAGGTGGCTCGCGCCGCCGGTTTGAACCGGCTTCGCCTTTCCCATGCGGGGTTCGCGTGGCCGCAGCGCCTAGCGACCTAGACAGCGGCCAATGGCGCCGCAGTTTCTAGCCGTCAGGCCAATGAGCGGGTCGGGGGCGGGCCGTTCCGGACGCCGTTCGCTGATCTTGTGGTTGAAGGAACGAGCTCTGAGGAAGGGTCTCCAGTGCGGGCGGGAGGGCTCCTGTCAGGGTCCCAGGGAGTGGCAGCCCCCCAGGTATGGCCCTGCCCAGGTATCCGGACGTAAGGTGCCTCTCCTGCCGGTCCCCAAGCTGTGTCAGATCTGCGGAAAGCCCGATTAATTCCACGCCCCTGAGCATGTCTTAGTCTCTCCTTGTTTCCCTGCCTCAGGTTACCTCGGAACTCGCCGAGGGAGAGGTCTCCCCGCCGGGCGGGGGCCGCTGTCCCGGAGCTGAGGGCGGACGCACGAGCCAGCCGCAGACTGGCTGGCCCAGGACCCAGGCCGGGCTGAGGCTTCCTTCGCCGCGCGCCCCTACCGCCTGGGCCGCGGAGCGGTGACAAGCCCCGCGCGCTGCGGCAGCGGCCCGTGTTGGCCGCATAGGCTGGGCAGCGCCCGGCGCTGACGCCGAGGTCTGTGTGCAGGTGGCCGCCGAACCGGAGCCGAAGCCGGAGCCGGGCCTCCGCGCCGCGCCATGGCGCCCACCCTAGCCACAGCCCATCGGCGCCGCTGGTGGATGGCCTGCACAGCCGTGCTGGAAAACCTCCTCTTCTCGGCAGTCCTCCTGGGCTGGGGCTCGCTGCTCATCATGCTCAAGTCGGAGGGCTTTTACTCGTACCTGTGTACTGAGCCAGGTGAGACGGGCGGCTCGGGCTGGGGGTGGTTCCCGGAGTGGGAGCTTTGGGAGAGGGCGAGACGGGAGTGAAAGATCGGCCAGCAGTACTACCTCGGTGCGCAACACCTCCCGGTTTAGCAGAAGCCCCGTTTGATCCTCTCTCAGCCCTCTCTGCTGGGTACGTGTCATTGGCTGTTTTGTGGATGAAGAAACCGAGGCCCAGGCCCATCTTCTGGCTTGCCCAAGGACTGCGGTAGAGCCAGAACCCCCCTAAGTCCAGGGTGTTCTTCCTCCCGCCTTAAGGAACATTGCTGGACTCCTCTCCTTCCAGTGCATAGCACATCACTTGCCTTGCACTAAATACGTTGCTGCCTGACTGTGAGAAAGAGGAACTCCTGACTCAGTGGCTGGGGTGCAGAAAGAGAGAGGAAGTGGCTTGGCCTCCACCCCACTGAAGCTTCATCTGGAATCTAGATGTTTTAGTCAGGCCATTATGGAGTCTCTTAAGGGCATGTCAGCTACAATTTCTTGTCTATTTTTTGCTGCTTTATGATTTTCCAAAGGACATTTCCTCCCACAGGCTGTGAGAACATCCCAGTGGCCTTCTATCTGCCTGCCATTGTGGAGGGAGGCAAAGGGGGTATTTAGGGAAATAACACTTGTTCTGTTGTCTCTCTTTGCCACACCATTGGTTTTGCTGAATGCAGGCTGAGGATGCTTGTCTATAAGAAATCGAACCCCAACTCCTACCTTCACACCCCCCTGACCCCGTCCAAGGCTCCTAATTGTTGTAGATTAGTAGATTCAGCTGAACAGTGAGACCCAAGTGCCTCTCCACCTCTACCCTCCTACCCCTTTCCTAGGTAACCTTGATAAGAAATGTTTCCCTCTGCCCTCTGCTATCCCCAGCAGTGGCTACCTAATAGCTGAACTCCGTAATGTCTCTTCCCATTGCCTTTGTCAGCCAGTTCCTGCACGAGTCCCCTTAGAGGGAGATGGGTAGAGTTTGACCCTCTGAATCACAGCACTGGCATGCCTTTTCTTGTTAGTGTTCTAAATTGGGGGGAAGAGAAAGCTTTGGACCAGCTCATGCTACCTATAACCCCATGTAGAGTCCTTGTTTCCCTTTCTTGGTAGTCCCAGGAGATTTCTGAGTGTTTCAGTTTCTAAGGAAGCTTTGCTGGGCAGGTTAGGGGCAGGAGAAACGAAGGGGACGCAGAGGTCACCTGGGGGAGGGTAGAGAGTATATAATTTATAAGCTTTAGCCTTTAGCTACTCAGAAATATTTCCTAATAGCCTAAGGGTTCTTGGCAGACTTTTCCGCACATCAGCAAGAAATCTAGGGAGATGGGAGAGTCACTCAGACCTTGTTCCTTGAATAAGCTTTCTGCTTTGCCCAAGAGATGTTAGCAGATTAAGGACTCTGGAAGGAGCAGGTTGGAGTGTTTGGCTCCTCCTCTCCCTCCCTCTCTCCTCCGTTTTAGATCATGACCCTTCCTGCCTCCCTCTTTGATGGATTCTTTCAGGCTGCACCGAGGGTCTTTCCTAAAAACAGAGAGAAACCTCATTTCCAGGTGAAGCTTTTAGTGTCTCATCCAGACTGAGGGACTGTTGTGGTTGATTTTTTGGGGGAAGTGTGGGAGGGAAAGGATGCTACTGTAGAAGGCCAGATTCTAGGTTTCTTTTCTGAGCTTGTCCACTGACTTAATGTATTTTATGGTACTGGTAGCACTGGGGCTGGTCACTTCATTCCTGCCTCGACCTTGGCTTCTTCCTCCATTTAAAGTGGGAGGAGTTGCAGAGACTGCCAACACAATGCTGAGCTGGTGTTGAAGCCGGTAAGAGGCTTGACCCTGTCCCTCCTATAAATCAAAGTGAAGGTGAAGGGTCAGGGTGGCAGTTGAACATCAACTTCTTATCCCGTGCCTTTGCCCCTGCCTTTGATTTTGTTTTTTTTCTGACTACCTGGAAAGCCTGCTGATCCAGCATCTTGGACGGGCAGCCCCGCTGATTCCACACAGCTTATCTCTCTGGCCTCCCTGCTTCTCGATTCTTGGAGTCCCAAGTAGCCTGTCACCTTTTGGAGCCAGGAGTCTCCTCCAGGCCTTGCCTCCCTGGAGTGCCTGGAGCGTATAGGGTCAAGGTTTCCGCTTAGGCCTAATATGTTTAAACTTGGTGGATGGCTGACTTGCCGAGAAGCAGTGGGGCCATTTATGGAGTTTATTATGTTAGACTTGTGAAAAGCTGACTGGTCTGCCGCTGCTTGAGATGCCAATTTGTCAGCTTTTTGTCACTTATAGGACCTTGGCTTTTGGGTTTTTCTCTCAAGAAAATTTGCCTAAACCTGTTGAAACGTTCTCAGAACTCATTCTCGGGACGCCAGCCAGAATCTGGCCCCGGACACATGGTGTTGGGTTGCAGTGTGGTGAGGTGGGAGAAGGAGTGAGCCTGTTTCTCTGCTGCCTCTCAGCTCTTTTTGCCTTTCTCACCACATGAGATTGTTAAGGACCCGTGCCCAGCATTTGGGCTTTGCCTCCCCAGGCCCCCTGGTGTGGTTGGGCTGCCGTCTGGCTTCCTAGCCCAGGAAGTCCAGGGCTTTCCCAGACCCATGTCCTTTTGGCCTCAGGATGACCGCCATACCTCCCCAATCTTGACCTCTTTCTTCATTTTCTCAGTCATCTGATGGCCCGCTTGGACAGGGTCAGGTCAGGGGGTTGTTAATCTCCTCTTTGTCTAACCCACATGTCCAATAAGCATTGAGGTGTTGTGCTGGGTGGTGCAGAGCAGTCCTGGCCCTCAGGGAGTCCGTAGTCCACCAGCATCAAACCCACAGACCATATGCTTCCAAGTGGAGGTCCGGACTGCAGTGAGAGCAGGGGGCCAGGAAGGAGAACGGCAGTGGGGATCCAGTTCAACTTGGGTGGGAGGGCCTCTCTGAGGTTTAGGGGGAAGCGGGGAGGGCAATGAGGGGTGAGTCGGGAGAGGAGTGGGGCAAGAAGAGGTGGGAGGTGGCCAGGGCCCACAGGGCCTAGGAGGCCACGTGTGGAAGTTGGATTATTTTATTCTCAAGGCAGGAAGAAGTGACAGGGGCATAGGAGGGCGACGATCGGATTCACCTGTTAGACTCTTAGGAATTATTGCAGTATTGCCACAAACTGGGCATGGGGCATGGGTGGGAGTTGCGGTTTCTGCCCAAGGAAGTCACGGTCTAGCTCATTCACGGACACCAAGGCAGACCCGAGTTCTGTTCCCTTCACGGTCTAGCTCATTCACGGACACCAAGGCAGACCCAAGTCTTGCTGCCTGTGGTGGCAGTGGAGCTGTACTCCTCATGAAACAAAGCAGGAAGCTGGTCCCCCGGGCCCTGAGAGGGCAGAGGGGCCGCTGTCCACCAGGGAAGCAGAGATGGGCCTGGGGCCCCGCAGGTGGGCCGAGGTGGCAGAGGTTGGCAGGAGACCTTCCCTGCTGCTTGGAGGCCCTCTTTTAATGGTCTCCTCCTCGCGCAAAGGCTGCTGGCTTTTTTTTTTTTTTTTTTAAGATTTTATTTATTTATTTGACAGACAAGGGATCACAGGTAGGCAGAGAGACAGGCAGAGAGAGAGGAGGAAGCAGGCTCTCTCCGCTGAGCAGAGAGCCTGATGCGGAGCTCGATCCCAGAACCCTGGGATCACGACCAGAGCCAAAGGCTGAGGCTTTAACCCACTGAGCCACCCAGGCACCCCTAGGCTGCTGGCTTTGAATAGCTTTTGAAAGCCCACCCTTTGACTTGTATTGCTGTGAATGTGACTGTTTCCACTCCCCCCTCCCCGCTCCCCCTACTCCCCTTTCCACCCCGCTTTATTTGGGATTTAAAAAAACAAACATTCTGTAGCAACGGATGAGAAGGTCTGAATGCTGGTGTCCATGGCCTCACAGTGAGTCAGAGAAAGGAGCTGGAACCCTCAGCCTTTCCTCCCAACCTTGCCTTTCTTCTTCCCATTTCATGACCCACTTTCCCTCTCCCACATCTGTGGGCCCCACCTGCCTTCGTGGTGTTGCATTAAGATTCTGTCCAGCTTGGGCTGACTCTCAGGGAGGATCTTGGGGTCAGTCCCATTCACACTGGGTGTCATTAAGGGCCACCTGGGGCTGTCTGTGCTGTCTCTGTCCCTTCAGCATATTCTCTTGGAAAGCCTTGGACCCACGTAGTATAGCATCAGCACAGCCCAGAGGCTAAAAACAGGAACTCTGAGGTCCAGCTTCTCCATAAGGTGCTGTCTATGAGACGTCAGACAAGCTCTCCAAATGACTGCTCCAAAGCCTCCGGTGTCCTGTTGTGGACGGTGGGCGGGGAATGAGAGCACTAAGCGACATGGAACAAAAGCCACTGAGTAAGTGGCCAGCACACACGGCCACAAGTAGAGGCTAGGCTCTGGCCTACCCAGGATGGCCCTCTGACTGTCTGTGTCCTGCCTTGTGTTTGCTCTGCATCTGAGGCTGACCTCTCATCTACATCCCCCTGTTGGACTGAGATACTGCTTCCTGTTGCCGGATAGACTAAGGATTTAGGAAAGTGACAGGAGATCCTGGGGCAGGGACCATCAGCAGGGAGGTCCAGGGGCCTGCATCCCGGGCGTGGGGGCAGGCAGGCAGTAAGCAGTCAGAGAAGGGACCTGCTCAGGAATTCGAGGAGCCTCCAGCCCAGTGCCCCCTTGTTCCTTTAAGCATCATGCAGCCGTTCCCTTTGTTTGTCTGGGGTGGGGGGAACCCCCTCCTTGACCCAGGGAGGCCAGGGGAGCCCAAGTGGGGTCATAGCACCCCCTTTTGTCCCCTGCTTTCAGTGTACGGATTGTGTGTTAGTCTGCTGTGAGGAGGGCTGAACAGTGCAGGCATTGTTCTCTCTTCCCGGCCCCTCAGCAGCCTCACAGTGATTCGGCACACTCTGGCCACACCAATTCCTTGCCTGTCCTCTTGGTTCACCTTCCCCGGCCGGACTGGGCCAGGCCACTCTGGCCGCCCAACTGAGAGGCATCTGTTTGATAAACAGGTGCAGGTGAGGTGCGGAACAGGCTAGGCTGGGAGCGGAGGGGCACCCTGGGGCTTGACACTTCTTTGGTGCTTATCTGTTTGTGTCTCTTCTGGCCCACAGTGGCCCAGGTGGGAGCAGAGGGAGCGGAACAGCCTGGGTGTGGCTGTGTTCGGGCATCTGTCGGATCTGTGATTATTCATGTGGGCTGTTTATTGCCAACAAAGCTGGGCTCACCAAAGACTAGTCTCCTCTGGGAGCAAGGGACTCTCTTGCATTGCTTCACGGACAGACAAGAGAGGCCACTGAGACTCCCTATCCTGGGCTTATCTGTTGCTGGACATCACTGCCTAGAGGCAGGAGTGCAAGGGTCAGGCAGCCCAGTTGGCAGGGATTTTTTTTTTAAAGAGAGAGAGCTGGAGATGCCTGGGTGGCTTAGTCCGCTGAACGTCCGCCTTCGTTTGGCTCAGCATCCTGGGATTGAGTCCTGCTTAGGGCTTCTTGCTCATTGAGAGGTTGCTGGGAGTGGGGAACCTGTTTCTCCCTCTGCCTGCTGCTCCCCCTGCTTGTGCTCGCCCTATCTGACAAATAAAATTAAAAAAAAAAAAAAAAGGAGTTAAAGCTGGTGGCCCAAAGTGTGTAAGTCTCTTTTCCTGTGTGTAGTGGCTGCAGGATGAAAGATGGGGGACAGGGGTGCCTGGGTGGCTCAGTAGGTTGAGCATTTGCCTTCGGCTCAGGTCCTGATCCCAGGGCTTTGGGGTGGAGCCCTGCATTAGGCTTCCTGCTCAGTGGGGAGCCTGCTCCTGCCTCTGCTGCTCCTCCTGCTTTTGCGCTCTCTTTCTGTCTGTCAAATAAATAAATAAAGTCTTTAGGGGGATAAAAAAAGATGGGGACAGATACCCTTCCCTCCACTCCTGCCTCTCTCCTTAGGAGCGCCCCTGTCCAGTTCTTTTTAAATTCAAGATGTTTCCACCACCATCCCCACTTACAGCAAGGCAGGGAGACTGCCCTGCGTACATTGCCTTGGGATTTATCTTCTCTCTTGTGGCAAGTACAGTCTTGGGTTTATGGGTCCACCTCTGGGAAAACCGGGGGCAGGCACCCTGGGGCCTCTACTCAGAGACAGTGCTTCCTGGTTCCGTTGGCTACCTGTCTAGCTCTGGCTGTCTCTGCTTACAGCCGCGGACCCAGAGTCCTCCAAGCCCTGAGTTCTCCTGTGTTCTGTAGTGCGGTCCCAGACCCTGAGTGGCCACAGTCAGGGTTCGCAAGCCAGTGATCCCAGACCCCAGGCGCCTTCTCCACCCGTTCCCTCTGTGACAGTTGTATGCTGCTTTGCTCGTATCTGCACACCAACCGGGAAATGGCCATTGCGGTGTGGAGGCCCTGTCCTCCCACTTCACGTGCAGTTCCTGTTGCTGCTGGCTGCGAGCCATCCACTGAAACCAGCGCCAGCCTCGGAGGCAGCGCCGCCTTTGCAGAAGCTATGCCACCACGGACGAGCAGCTCCGGGCCCCGGCTAGGGCAATGCGTGCGGGGCTTCTGACCTGGATGCTCATAGACTCAGATGATCCTGCTGGTCATGTGTTTGTGCTGTCAGCGTAGTGGGGCCTCTCTGAGGAGACAGAGGGGCAGGGTTTGGGGGTGGGGAGAGAATCTGGCTTGTTAGGTTTCATTTCTGTGGTTTCAGAAGGTTGACCTTGTGCTTTTCATCTCCTTAAATCCCCTCTGTCTTCTCCTTGGTTTCATACATACTATTTCCTTTCTTTTGTCTGTATCCTCTTGGCCTTGGTGATCTGACTGCAGTACTCCCATCGTTTTCATTCATTTGGTAAACACCTGCTGCACCCCAGGACCTGGGTCCTCACCAGAGACGTGGGCCGCCAGCCCAATGGGAGATGAGACACAAAGTCGTGGTACACACACACTGTTGTGGGAGCCTGCGCCCAGTGCCTTTGTCCAGCTCCGCCGCTGGCCAGTTACACCATCCCAGGCCTCCCATAATAGTGATAATAATAGCAGGTCATAGCTGTTGTTTATCGAGCACTTTCTATGTCCATGTAAGCTCTAAAGTGTTGTCCGGAGTTCCTCATGTATCTTCCTCCCGACTCTAGGAGGTAGATACAACTACCGTATTGTGCCATTTTGCAAATAAAGAAACAGGTAGAATGATATTAAGTCATTTTTCCAAGGTTATCCAAGTAGGAAGTAGAGGTACCAAAATTGAAACCCAGAGGCCAGATTCTGGCCCCTCCCCCTCCATCGATGTGCCCCCAGCAGGGGCTGTTGGTGAGAGGCTGGCATACATAGCATGATTCATCCTAAGTGCATCCTTCTCCATGACCTTGGGGCAGCCCTGGGAGGCCTGGGCAGGCCTTTGCCGACCTCAGCTTTATGGCCCTGGCGCCAGAGGGCCGCAATCTGGAGGGGGCAGTTATCAGTAGAGAGGTGTTTCCTCGCCTCTCCCAGTGTGACCTCGCATCTAATCAGAGGCTGCTCCTCTCTGGGAGGATTAGTCAGCATCTTTAACTAGCTGGGCCCCCAAGAGGAGAGGCTTCCTCTGCCGCCTTCGGGCCTGTGCTCCACCCTCCTGCCTGCAGCTGCCGCAGCACTTCTTCCTCCCTATGTCTTGCCCTCTCCGGGCTGGGTGGACTTTGGAGGGGCGATTAGGGCCGAGACTGCAGGTAGCACAGGTGTGGCCTCAGGGGACAGCAAAACATGACCCCAGCAGGGAAAGTAAGAAAGGTGGACCTTAACAAGTGAAAGCTAATGACTTAGGACTACTAAAAAAAAAAACCAAAAGCAAAAAACTTCTCCAAGGGGTTTTGCCCTTCCCTTTGGTTGACCGAGGAGAACCAGGGCATTGCAGTGACCCCAGCAGCTTGTCCCTCTCAGGTGGTCTAGGGTGGAGCCCTGATAGACTGGCTGCAGCCTGTTTCCACGGACAGAGCTGCTGAGATTTCCAGCCGGCCGGTGACCCCACAGCCTAGGCTGGGTCCTAAGTCCTAGTCTTCTCTGATGTAGGTTACTCTCGAATGGGAATCTCAAGCTGGGGCTCATGCGTGCCTCAAGGGACACGGGAAACCCCTGAAACTGTGGGCAAGCCTTTGTGTGCATTTTCGGAGGAGGAGCATAGATTCCTTTATTGGAGTCTCCAGAAGGTTTGCGACCTCTACAAAAGTTAAGAGCCTCTGCGTTACTGCTCCAAGGGGCTGGGGCCAGATGCACAGTCAGTCAAGCCTGCCCCGGGGTAGCCAGAGCCAGACCTAACATTTCCAGTGGGGTCTGAATGTGCAGCTGCCCCTCTGATCTTTGGGAATCACTGCCTCAACCCTGTGATCAAGTTTCCCTCCCTCTACACATACAGATACTGTCACCAACGGCACAGTGGGGGGCACAGCAGAGCCGGAGCAGGAATCTGAGGATATCAGCTGGATGAATGGCTGGCTTAGCTGCCAGGCCCAGGATGAGATGCTCAACTTGGCGTTCACCGTAGGCTCCTTCCTGCTCAGTGCCATCACCCTGCCTCTAGGCATCGTCATGGACAAATATGGCCCAAGGAAGCTCAGGCTGCTGGGCAGGTCAGTGCAGGGGCTGGGGGTGGGCAGGTGGGACTCCTGGGCTGAGATCCCCACTGTGGAGAATCCTGGTCCCTGCTGTCAGCCGCACTGTCAGCTCCCTAAATGCCCACCCAGAATGGGGCTCCTCTCCATTCTGCCACCAAATCAGTAGGTCCTGTGGTCCTTGCTGTGTGCTAGTATTGCATAAGAAAGGCTCGGGGCCCTGGTTCGGGGCCTGCTTCGTTGCTTGTCATTAAGAACACTGGTTTGCACTTCCTGAGGTGCATGCCCCTGGCCTATAAAGCTCCATTCCACCAGACTCAGGGTTAGTCCACCAAGCAGTGGGTCCTTTCAGCCCACAGCCCTCCCCTGACCAGTCCCGCTGGAAATGATCATCTGCAGGGCTGTGGTTTGCAATGGGTGAGCTCTGAGACCGCGAAGGGAACGGGTGGAGGATCAGTCTCATTCATTCTTTGGAGCATAAGAGGCCTTGGTCCCCAGGTTGGAGCTAAGCAGACAGGATTCAGAAGCTGCCGCTCAGCTCCCTCATGCTCGGTGAGGTACTGCCGCTTCTCTGCAGAGCGGGCGTAGGAACCTGGGGAACGGGTCGTGCCCGCTCACTTCAAAACCCTGGCCTCTCCAGTCTGAGGATGGGAGGGGATAGTGTAGTGTGGTGTTCATCAGATCTGCCTTTGGGCCCTGAATTCTAGCTTAGACAGCTGCTGTCTATGAGACTTTGTGAGAATGTGTGGTTTTCTCTTTCTTTTTTTTTTTTAAAGATTTTATTTATTTATTTATTTGTCAGAGAAAGAGAGAACACAAGCAGGCAGAGCGGCAGGCAGAGGCAGAGAGAGAAGCAGGCTCCCGGCTGAGCAAGGAGCCCCATGCAGGACTCAATCCCAAGACCCTGGGATCATGACCTGAGCTGAAGGCAGCAGCTCAACCAACCGAGCCACCCAGGCATTCCTGGTTTTTTCTTTCTTTGTTTTATTTTCTTCATCAGTAAAATGGAGCCAGTTGTACTCCTCAGAACTGTTAAATTAAACGAGAGAATGTATGCAAATTCTCTGGAAGCATCTGACCCATAGTAAATACTTCCTAAGAACACCATTAATAACAACAGTAATAATAAATAATGTACTATTTCTCCTTGTTTTTAGTGCCTGCTTTGCTGTCTCCTGCTTGCTGATTGCCTATGGAGCAAGTAACCCGAACTGTGAGTATGCTTTTCCTCTACCCTTTGGTCAGGGACTGGGGAGAGAGTGCCCAGAGGTGCTCGCAGACCCGCTTGCTGTAGCCGTGCCAGGCCTGGGGCTCACTGCTCAAGTCAGAGGGGATGCCTGTTAGCCTTCACCCTGTCACTTGTCTTAAATGGGGGACTGGGTAAGACAGTGGTCACTCCAGACAGACGTCTAAGAGAAGCTCCTGGGGTGTGCAATACTCCCATCCCATCACCAAGCTAGGCCAGGCCCCGATGCCCTCCCTGATGCCAACCTGAGTTCTAGAACCAGGCCAGCTGAGGGATGTGTGCATAACTTGGGAGCTGAGTCCCCTGAGGCAGCCCAGGCCAGCACTATAAAGATGGGTTAGAAGTTGGGGCACCTGGCTGGCTCAGTTGGAAGAGCATGCAACCCTTGATCTTGGGTCATGAGTTCGAGCCCCACATTGGGCGTAGCGCTTACTTAAAAAGAAAAAAATGATGGCTTAGAATCCAGCTGGTCCCCAGCCCTGTTCAGGTAGAGCCATTGCTTCAAGGACTTTCAGAACAAACACCAAAATAGCACTTGAGGTTTGCCAAAATCTTGGCCAGGCTCATCCGCTAATTTTTGAGCACCTGTATTTTTGTTTTCGGAGAAAGCAGCTTCTTTAGGCCTGTGGCTTGCTGCTAAGGTTAGTGGAGAAAGGGGGATGGGGCTACATCTTCCGCAGGAACCCAGGCTCTGTAAAATAGGCAAGAGGATGGTGGCGAGGAAGAGGCTGTTCCAGCTCCCCAGGTGTCCATCACTAACCCCAGATGGCTTGTCATCCATTCCGCTTGCTCCCTGCGAGGCACTGGGCCAGGCCCTTGACTTCCGGAAGCTCAGCTGTGGTTCCCCGATGATGAGCTTTCCATTTCCTTACAGCCCTCTCCGTGCTCATCTTCGTTTCCCTGGCTCTGAATGGCTTTGGTGGGATGTGCATGACTTTCACTTCATTAACAGTAAGTATTGATTCTTTAAAGATCTCTCGATCAGTCCTCGCTCTGTGAATTTGAGGCAGCTTTTGTTGGCTTCAGTTTCCTTGCCTTCCATCTGCCTATTGTGCCTGGACATCCCAAGCAGGAGAGGACTGCTGGGGATGAAGTGGCCTGGCAGCAAAGCCAGTCATGGCCTCCTGTGCTGGGGAGGTTCTCTAGGTAGGCCTGAAGGCAGCAGAGCTCGGCTCTTGGAGCAGGCCCACCCCTTGCCTGCTGACCTTGGCTTACATGCTGAGGAAGCCAGCTCACTAGCCACGTGCCCAGAGAAGACAGGAGTAGAGAGAAAAAAGCTGCCACCCACTTTCTTTTCTCTCATTTCCCATGGCGGCTCTGGTTAACAGTGCCACCTAAAAACAACCCTCCCTTGAAATCTCCCCACCCTGAACCATTGCCTTTGTCCAGAATGGAACGAAAAATTCAAGGGTGTACATGGCTGCCTCTTGTCGTGGTTTACTGAATGCCAGGGTACAGAGAGCTGCCACCCTGGGGAGAGAGGTGTTTTCTTGGGATGCTTGAGTGCCCCCCTGTCTTTTTCTTTTTCTTTCTTTTTTTTAAGATTTTACTTATTTGACAGAGAGAGACAGCAAGAGAGGGAACACAAGGGGCGCCTGGGTGGCTCAGTGGGTTAAAGCCTCTGCCTTCAGCTCAGTTCATGGTCTCAGGGTCCTGGGATTGAGCCCCGCATCGGGCTTTCTGCTCTGCGGGGAGCCTGCTTCCTCCCTCTCTCCCTCCCTGCCTCTCTGCCTACTTGTGGTCTCTGTATGTCAAATAAATAAATAAAATCTTAAAAAAAGAGAGAGAGAGGGAACACAAGGAAGGGGAGTGGGAGGGGGAGAAGCAGGCTTCCCGCAGAGCAAGGAGCCAGACGTGGGACTTGATCCCAGACCTGAGCTGAAGGCAGCCGCTTAACAACTGAGCCACCCAGGCACCCCAGTGTGCTGCCTTATCTGTAGCAGCAGAATACCACAGAACGTGCTTCTTTGTGAGGTGGGAGAGGTTGTTAGAAGAAAGTTAGTCAAAGAAGGCCAAACATGTCTTCCCTAGGAGGAAGAAGGGAGCTCTCTACAGGCTGGCCCTTCAGAGCTGGCCAGTGGGAAAGAAGTGAGAATACAGTGCTCTTCAGAGAGATTTCTGTCCCAACAGCAATGTCTGGCTTTCCTCAGTTTCCCTGTGACAAACATTTTTATGACGTGGTACCTGCCATCCCGATTTGCAGGGGCCTCTGGTTTCTGATGTCCCTTTCCACTGAGAGTCAGGAGTCCTGCTGTTGAGGGGTGCTTGTTTGGCTTTGAGGGAGCCCTGGGGATGCCGGTCTTCTTGGAAGGAGCTCAGAGAAGTGCTGGTATCTGTGTGACCCCTTGCCTGCAGGCTGTGAGCCTGAGCCTGAGGACAGGCCCAGGCAGGCCCAGTGCCTCTTCTTTTGCCCCTTCCTGTCCTTTGCCTGGTTAACTTCGTCCCAGTGAGAGGGGATGACTGTCTGGTGGGAGCCCACGGAAATGGAAAGTTCAGAGAACTCTGTGTTAGGTGTGAAAGGCACAGCGGGGGCTGTGTATGTGGTATGCTTTGGACGTAGGTGACACACAGGTGTGGGTGACACAGGGCTGTGAGTGACACATGCATCTCTGGGAACTCTGGCAGCCTTGCCCTCTATGATATGAGGGAGATTAACTTTGTACTCTTTTGTGTGTTACTTCTATTTTCTTAACCGGGTAGATTTCTTTTTTAAATGGATGTATCCCCCTCCTTCTCAAATTCCTGGGGGAAAACAGATGTCGAAACAGTAAGAAATATTTCAGAACTATCCAAAGTACACAAATCCCACTAAGTTGTATAAATTGTGAAACAAAAGTCATGGTTCTGTTTGTTCTTTGACAGCATGAAAATGACCAGCTCTTTCATCAAGATGAAAATTAAAAACCTGGCATCATTCCCATTATTTTGGTCATGCTGTGCCTATGTTATGGCAGAATTTAGGGGTAAAATTAGGGATAAAAAAGAGATGGGCCTTGAATGTCAGGAGTTTATGCTCTGAGATGAAGAAAGATGTTTTATTGTAATAAAGTAGAAGACAAGTGGGTAAAAACCACCACACCATGAATCACCTTTAAGAAAGCCTTTGGCAGGGGGCACCTGGGTGGCTCAGTCTGTTGAGTGTCCGGCTCTTGATTTTGGCTCAGGTCATGATCTCATGGTCCTGGGATTGAACTCCATGTCAGTCTCCACTCTCAGCCTGGAGTCCGTTTGTCCCCCCTCCTCCTGCCCCTCCCCCTGCTTGCTTATGACTCTTGATCTCCTGTTTGTGCATTCAAGCCCCACGTTGGGTATGGAGACTACTAAAAAAAGAAAAAAAGAAAAAAAAGAATGAGCTTATAGTTTTCAAGGAACATTTAGAGGAGGCTAGTAGGCCTATAACAATTTGATTTCTGGATTCCTTTTTTATGATCATAGACAAAAATGTTTTTATTTTCAGAAGTCAATATTTTAGGAATAGAAAGTATAGGCTGTGAAATTCTATAAGCACACCTTCAGCAATTTAGAATGTAAATCTGCATATACCAATGTTATTCTTTTTTTTTTAAAAACAGGCTGTTATCAGTTTGCCTTTTTTACTTAGTTCTTTTCACATGTTTTTCTGCCGGTACCTAGAAATCTACCTTATTATTTTAAACTCTAGAGCTCCACCTCATTATGAAACAGTTCTATGTTATTCTATAATATAGATATACCATAATTTACTCAACCAGTTTCCTGCTCATGAACATTTGGGTTGGTTTCTAGTCTTCCCGATTTATGGTGTTACTGGAGGGAACACCCCTGTACATACCTTCCCGTAAAATAAATACTTAGAAGTGGGATTGCTGGTCTTCCCCACAGGTTCCATCCTAATACAATTGTACCAGCATGGATAAGAGTGGCCCTTTCTCCACACCCCTTCCCCAGACCTTGTTATTAGCCTTTTATTTTATTTTATTTTATTTTTTAAGATTTTATTTATTTATTTGACAGACGGAGATCACAAGTAGGCAGAGAGGCAGGCAGAGAGAGAGGAGGAAGCAGGCTCCCTGCTGAGCAGAGAGCCTGATGTGGGGCTCGATCCCAGGACCCTGGGATCATGACCTGAGCCGAAGGCAGAGGCTTTAACCCACTGAGCCACCCAGGTGCCCCTATTAGCCTTTTAAATATTAGCCAGTCTGATCTGGTGAAAATGGTATAACCATGATTTTTAAAAATTTTTCTTTGTTTGTGAGACAGAGCATCTTTCCACCTCTTTTTTTGTGGTCATTTGTATTCTGTGAATTGTTTCTTTGTGTTTGTCTGGTTTTTCTTTTTTTTTTTTAAGTGTTTTGTAAGAACTCTTTGATCTATAAAAACAAATTTGCTGTCTTTCTGGGTGAGCAAGGGATCTTACCCTAGGGTTTTTAGGCCTCTGGGTGATCATGAATAAGCTTAAGGTAGGCTGTACTTCCCTTGAGAGTGTATGCAAGCAAACTGTGTACGTGCTGGTGCATTTTTTTTGTGGCTCTGTTGCTTTCATCAGCCTCTAATAGGTCTGTGTGAAGGTCAAAAGCACTGCGTAGGAACACTTGCATTAGCTCCTCACTGTCCCACCGGGAGTCAAAGGTACACAAGATAACACAGTGAGACCATCTGATTGTTAACCTAAAGGCTTTGGTTAGCAGAGATCTGTTTAAGGGAGCCTAGTGGCTTGTCTCCTAAGGCTTGTCTCCATTCTTGGGTCTAGAGCAGCGGGGAGCAAACTGCAGCCCCCAGGCCAAATCCAGACCACTGGTAGGTGTGGGCAACCCAGCTGGGTGGAGGGACTGGCGGTGAAAGAATTCACCCAAGGCAGAACAAAGGAGATAGAAGTTTATTGAACACACCGCAGGGGAGCAGCCCGCAGGACAGCACGACAGGGAGGCAGAGACTGTCTGCCAGGAGGCAGTGCTGGGGGCTGTGGTTCAGGTGGGGAGTGAGGAGGTATGGGAATGTGTGGAATTTTCCTTTTTTGGTACCTGTGCCCAGTTGTAAGTCGCCCTTTCGTCAGCTAGGGCTTGCGGCTGTTTCTGAGGTGGGTCTGCGGATGGGTCTGTTTGCGCTTGGCCCGGGGTTCCCTGTGGGCCCTTCTACCCCACTTGGCTTCCAGTGCTCACGCCTGCTGCTTATAAGCTGCCAACTGTGGTTGGTGGGGGGAGGATTATAAACAAAGTTTTGTTTTTTTGTGTTTTTCAAAGATTTTATCCATTTATTTAAGAGAGAGAGAGAGCGCACGCGCACACACACGCGGGAGCAGGAACAGGATGGGGGGGGGGGCAGAGGGAGAGGGAGAAGCAGGCTCCCTGCTGAGCCGGGAGCCCTACTGGGGCTCCATCCCAGGACCCTGAGATCCTGACCTGAACCGAAGGCAGATGCGTAACCCACTGAGCCATCCAGGCGCCCCCGTGAACAAAGTTTCATTGGAACACAGCTATGCCTACTATTTACTACTGTCTGTGGCTGCCTTTGTGCTGCAGGGCAGAGTGAGGTAGTTGTACAGAGACTATCTGGCCTGCAAAACCTAAAATATATGTTATCTGATGCTTCACACCCTTTGGTCTAGAGGCACCAAGAAGCTGCTCAATTCCTGTCCCCTGTCAGCAAAGCAGGGGCTGACACCCACTCCCTCACCCCACCTCCTGCTGTCACCCCCTTCTGTGTACGTGGGCCAGCTCCCTCAGCACTTTTTAAGTCATGTTCCCCCTCCACTGCTGCCCCGGCCTGGGGGATCTCAGTGGGTGTTCTCCTGTCCAACAGGGTCTCAGAGGAGGACTCTCATGGCTCTCCTTTCCAGAATAGACCCCAAAAGGGGAATGAGAAGCAGGTCAGCGAGGACAGAGCTGGAGCTCTTGGGCAATGTTTTAGGGCTGGCCGAGACTTCCGCTGAGCAGAGCCCAATCTCGTTCTAACACAGCCCAGGCCTTTAAAAA